ATCGAGTAACGTTAAGGTCTCTACTAGAAATAATATCCTTCTTATTTAATGACGCGTAATATAATATAAAATTCGTTACTTATCTTCTCCGTTGATTATCTCCGTAGAAATCTGTTCACCGTTGAACAGTACCAGCGTAGACATTTCCTGCAGCTACCACGGGAAAACGGTGTCCTGTAGCGAGCGTATACTGCCTGGTACGCAGGCTACACTCGCCTGTAAATCATCTTATAAATTACCTTTAACGAACGATCCAGCTTACAGAGAGATCACGTGTCTCGACGATGGTTTATGGGATCGTCGCCTTTTCCGCTGTCTACCAGGTACTTGTCATTTGCATGCTTCCTGATATGAGGAACGAAAAAGGAAAAAGTCTGGACGGATTGAACGTCAACCGTGCATGTTACCATCCATTAGTAGACCACATGACGTTTTTCCGCAGTAATTGCCGTCTGAGCGTATAAGATTACAGTTTCGAGACTTTATTCCAGCTTGTGATTTATATATGTATATAATCCGGCCGTTCCCCTGCAATTATCGTGCCATCGTACTGCAAAAGTATTAACGACGTTCTGCTTAATTAGAATGCGGAACGTCCATCGCGCATGGCAACACGTTAATCGTAAATGGATTCGCAGCCAGAGCAGGGATATTTCCATGGCACGTGGGTATTTACGCCAAGGAGAATACGGGCAGGTACCAGCAGATATGTGGCGGCACTTTAATTAACAACAATCTCGTCGTATCAGGTAAATTATCGGGCTGAATCATTCTATTCTTAGATTTACTCTTGTCGCGTGTATTCGCAGCTGCCCATTGTTTCTACGATGAGGTTTACAACAGACTGTACAACGAATCGAAATATGCTGTGGCCGCCGGCAAACATTATCGTGATTGGAACGCCAGCGAAAAATACGCGCAGAAATCGTTGGTGGAGAGCATCCAAGCGGGCGGCAGGTACCAGGGAGCGAGAGGTAATTTCGCCAACGACATAGCTTTATTAAAGTTGAAGACGCCCTTCGAGCTGACTACCTTAGTGAGGCCCGTCTGCGTGGATTGGGACAACACGCACGAGAGAGAGCAGCTGCAAGTGGGACACGGTGGCAAGGTAATACGGGCCAAGTATCAATCGTGAGAGAACCGACTAATTGGCACGTCTTAGCACAATTTAATTCATTACAAAGGCGCTTTGTAATGTCCGAGCGAAAGTACGTTTGCCGAGATACTAGTTGTAAACTGCATTAACGACCTGGTTTTCAACTAAACTTCGACTGCATGTTGGGACACTGTTACATCGTGTTCACGTTAATTGCTACGAGTGCAACGTACTCACGCGGTTTTGTACCCGATCGCGAGTGAGAGAGAGGGGGGAGGGGGGGACTATTTAATTTTTGTAAAGTAGTTCGTTTCGATCGTCGCGTCGTTCGAGGAACGAAGGTAGAATGAAATGTAAAGAGAAAATGAAAACGGACACGTGAGCTCACTTCGTGATTTCAGGTGGTCGGCTGGGGCAAAGACATCAAAGGTGAATCCACCAAGAGCTTACAGGAAATTGACATGCCGTTCGTGCCGTACGATCAGTGTTTGTCCGCGGTTCCTCATGATTTTCAAGGATACCTCACGTCCGACAAATTCTGCGCCGGCCATTTAAACGGTAAGTTTACACACGTGTAAATGTTTGCCACTGATAATATCAAGTAATGACGATAAATGGAGTAATTGTAATGATACGGTTGCATATCTCTGATACAAATCGAAAAAAAAAAAATGATTCTCTTCAGTGTTTTATAATCGTTCATAATGAAAGTAATTGCATAATTGTTAGGCTCGAGTGTCTGCGACGGAGACAGTGGCGGCGGCTTGTGCTTCGAGAAGGATGGCATTTGGTATCTTCGCGGTATCGTGAGTGTAAGCCCAGAGAACAAAGGCACTTGCGATTACAACTCGTACGTTGGATTTACCTCCGTCAGTCATTTCCGTGACTGGATCCGCGAGGCCTACGTGAACGAGTAAATGTTTCGTTTGGGATATGTGAATTGTGCCAACCCGTGAAATATATCGCCATATCATCGAGCCTGCAACGGCTAGACAGTTCGATGTGACGTCAAAACGAGATAACTGCAACAAAGCATTATTGACGATTATAAATCTTCTTCACAATTTTTTTAGCATCGAGTGGCAAAAACGTGAAAATGGAAGAATAGAGATTTAAAGATTTGCGCGATATAAAACGCGCGTGAAAACGCAATATTATCTCTGAGAGACGTTGTCGAATATGATTTAAAAAAAGTTTCGAAAATCTGTATGCTGTGTACGATACTCTTTTATCATAATAAAACTCTTTAATTATGCTACACAGTTGTGACGTTACGTTTAGGAATCAACAAGGAAGTCATTATGCCTGATCGTTTCTGCGTCGCTGCATAATTACCCCCACTTGAATTTTCCACGGTCATGTAGATAAGTATCTTCGTGCGCAAAGTGACGCAATATGAAATCGACTGTGTTTTCATATGAGTAATAATCTTGTTGCTAATAATCGACGTTTACTGCGCTATCATGTATGCGTATGTATATTTCCACATGCTGTTGGACATTTTTTAAATATTAGTATACGAACGCGCAGAGATCGAGCCGTATCGAAATGCACTTTGAATGACGAGCGCCGTGACGGACGTCCTGCAGGACGGCTTTATCTGACAGAAATCTAAATTAGTAACGAACGCGTCGTTTTATTTACAGCGGCGTCGCGTCATCCGTAACGCAAAGCACGGTGTCGTCGAGGATTTCTTTTATTTTTTTTGTTATTCCGATGCGTCGTGTTCCCCCGCAGGAATTTCCCAGCGATATCGAGATTATCTTCGACGTGGGTATCGGTACCCACATGGACTTTGTTTTGCGAGCTTACTGTCTCCTCGATAAATTGAGTTCCGGAGCTTGATGACGCATCGGTCGTAGTCGGAGCTATTTTAGCTTCGTATTTCTCGCAAATTCAACGCGATCACGTTCCTACGGTGATTATGCTCAGCGAAACGCACAGTAGATAATTAATATCGCGCCCCTTATTGTCGTTGGAAATAATAATTTCGTGCGAACGTGTGCGTGTACCTATGTGCGTGCGTGCGTGCGTGCGTGCATGTGTGTGTGTGTGTGTGTGTGTGTGTGTGTGTGTGTGTGTGTGTGTGTGTGTGTGTGTGTGTGTGAACGAGCAGTTGAATATTTTAGAATATCCTGCGGAATGCACCTAGTACGTGTGTGATTGTTCCAGCAAGGAACCGTGTGTATATCTTGCGAGTTTCACAATACAGACGACATACCTAACTCATTAGCTATTAATTATTTAATTAGAACTACCGTATCTTAGAGCGCATAATATGTACCGCGTGGATATATGTATTCGGCGGTGTCAGGTACACAGGCGTACGCATGTGTTTGTATCTGGGAACCCGCGTTTGCTCTCTGCAAGATTCATACATTAACAGGATGTGTTCGTTTGCTCATTGGTAAACCGTAGTATGATCATTACACTAAGGTTGGAGGTGGATAACCAGAACGCGTACATGCGGATCAGCTCGATAAGGCTCGATCAATACGGCAAGGAAATCTAGTTTGAAACAGAGCCATTTTCGAGCTTGGCGAAACGAGAGATCCGACAGAAACGGGACTTTGGAAAATTACATCAGCGCGTTTCGAAGTTATGTAAATTTGCGATAAACACTTCGTTTTATTCTAGAGAGAAATCAATCTGTACTTTGATCAGCCACGTGTATTTGTTAATAAAATCATTCGACATAAATACGCAACTTGTATAAAGTTTTTTGTATATCTCGACGATTCCTGCGCGGCGCTCACTTTGCAAAAATATCATACGGACGGGTCTCGCTAAGGGATGACCGGATGTCAAGATAATTGAAACAGGACGAACTTATTAACCGGCACGTTTCCATTCTTTCCTTCGTCGTCGCCGTCGCGACGCTTTTGTGCATTAACACCGAACGAGTGTTTTAGCGCGGCCGTTATCCTACCCTGGATCCTGCGCAAGTGTATTTTTCTTTGGGCTTTTAATTAGTCCGGTCATTAATTAAACACATTTCTCCTTCGGGCATCCGCTCGTCGGCGCCCGCGTCCCTCTCCCACTGCTCATACACCTCTCTGTCCTCCTGTTCCCTTTTCTCTCGCGGCTACCCGCTCGCCGGCACCGCTCTTCCGCCTCTTCCTACTGGGAACTACCTCACAACACTTCAGGAATTTTAATTTCGCCCTAACGTGTAAACACGCCGGCGCCAATTTATTTCACCACGGAGAGCGTTTTAAAAGGGAGGTTCGGGTCCAGCCAACCTCGCTTTCTCCGGCTTGCAGCCTGTTTGCCCTTAACTTTAATTTTCTCTCTCTCTCTCTCTCTCCCTCGCTCTCTTTCTGGCAACTAGATGCGTTTCGCGATTTACGATACTGCAAAATAGCCGCGGGCCTCGATACGAAGGAAATTGAAGGCCATAGAATATCAGCGAACGACGGTTAAAAAATATTGGTAGATAATACGAGTCTTTTGCCAAACAAAAATATTATTACGTATAAAGTATGATTTCTCTAACATTTCATGTTCTTTATTTGCAAAAAGAAAATAATAATTATATCATTTTATATCATGACCATAGAAATTAATCGACTCGATTGTCCGCCAGTGGCTGGCTATTCGCTGAAATAGCCGTTCTGCGGCAGGAGAGCGTACGTTTTCTGCTCATAGCGGATAAACGGAATTGCTTCACGTCGGATGATTAGTGTCGAGCTTAACAGCGTGGAATAATGCCCGGGATTACGATAATTAAAGAGTGTGATTAGTTTTATTGCGGCTGAATGACCGTAATAAAATGAACGGTAAAAGTCTGCGGCGGGTAAGGAAAATTAACTTATAAACGTAGTTTTGTATTTTATTCACAGCTTCGTTCCCTCGGTGCTGCTACGAAATGATATTTCCTGAGACGAAACGACGTATATTCTAGTTTCCGATAATCGTTATAAATCGCATCATGTCGCCGCTTAATCGTCGACGTGATGGGATAACCTGTTTAATGCCCTTATTTAGCGACATTATATGCGGCTAAAACGGTGCTCCTCCGGGTATTCAGGTCAAAAGGCTGCGCTCCTTTTAGTTCAACGGTGCTGGCGCAGAAAATGGAACAAATACACTCTGTGATAATTTAACTCGAGTTCCGGGAGGAATCTTCCCCCTCACGGCCTTATCCTTTGAAATCCTTTAATGGGAATTCTTTGCGACTACTGTGAGATGACTTAACTCAGTGATAATATTATTGTACTTGGCCTGAAACTTGGGAAGGACTCTTGATACGCGAGAGAAATGAGGGTTGAGCTGTTTCGCGAAAGGGGAAACGGTCAGCTCTTTGTGACATTTTCTGACTTTTGGCAGAGCGCTTGGAAATTTATCAGCTTGAAGATACTCTGATTAGACCTCAGTGTACTTTCAAACTAGTTTCATTATTTTTAAGAATGTGTTTTCGCCGATGACAAATCTGTGACTAGCATAAGGATGTATATTTCGAGTATTATATACTATAACGAATCTTTCAATCTTACAAGACCTTCTTTGCTTCCATTACTTGCACCGGAGTCGATTTCACGAAGCGACGATCACTTATTTGATATCCATGGAGGGTAAATGTTACTAGAATCTTGTTATGATTCTCAATTTTCTCCGATTTATCAACTTGAATTCGTACGGTCGCTGAACTCGAATATGTGGCTTGGTGCATCGACCTAGCTGGTCGTTCAAGAGAGAAAAAGAAAGAGAGAGACAGCGGAAGAGAGAGAGAGAGAGAGAGAGAGAGAGAGAGAGAGGGAAAGAGAGAGAGAAACGATTGTAAAAAAAGACATAGCAAAAAAAGAAATTGCGAGGAGAAAAGGAACCGTACCTGGCGGAACCGTTCCGCGCGTAAAACGCGAGTAGAAGGTAAGACGAACGAAAGGTAAGATAATGGAAAGTTGGAAAGAGCGCCGATCCACACCGGAGACACACAGATGGAGAGATGTGGAACGGCAATACTTAGAATTCATTTGCGCGACAATCTCCGGTTCCTTTCGCTTCGCGGCTCCTGCGCAACCTGCCGTGCCAATAAAATCAGAAATTCGCCTCGCTGGAAGAGACGTTGGTAGCTCGAGAGAAACGACAAGAGAGGGCAAGAACATGACTCGATAATTATGCAATTTTTTTATAGAAAAAAATGAACACTATTAGATATCAAAAAGGTAACGGTAATCCAAACTTTCGAGTTAAAAATCATATCGTCATTTTTAACTCCCATGTGTGTCAAAATGTAAAAAAATTCATTTCTGGATTGTTACAAATATTATGAAATTTAATGTACTTTTAAGTTACACTAGTTAAACGTAATTTCATACCATTACATTAAATTTAATGTATTTAAAAAGTATATTTGTGTATACAAGTACATGACATTTAATGTACTTTTCATAAAATTTTATGTAGATTCAGATAAAATTTAATGCATATGTTCATTATATTTAAGACTATTGTAATTTAGTTTTTAGTTAAACTATTAATTTCGTTTCAGTTATATATCTCATAATTACAATGCTTCTATTACTTACTTAAATTCATTATAAAATTTCTAACAGAGTGTGTAGTTATTTTTAAAGTAAACAATGTTTATATGCACTTAGTAAATAATAAAACTAATTAAATTTAATATACTTTCTTGAATTAAACTCTTTAACTTCACCCGTTTAGTTAATTAATAACATATTACATAAAAGCAATGACGACCTGTAAATGATTAAAAATAGCTAAAATTATAGGTATTAAAGTTAATGAAAATTAACATTATAAATTTAACAGTGTATCTCATTCCATTATAGTCGTGAATTAATTCTAATTTTACCTAATCAATTAATTTTATATTTACGTTCAACAAAAAATATGTGTTGATCATTTACTAAAATATTAATTAAATAAAATATTAATTTCTATAATAATTTGTCTTTATACATTATGCGCTAAATCTGATTGAGATTTCAACATTAACGTATGCACTAGTACGTAATAAATTACACTTGAGTCTTTAATATAGACTTTCTTGAGTTAAATTATTTAATTTCATTGTTTTAGTTAAATGAACGACATATTAAATAGAAATACTGGCGACCTGTAGAAATGATAAAAAATAACTCAAATTGAATACAATTTGGCATGAATTTAACAGTAAGAAAAGGAGTGGAGAACACGCGTTTCGTGGTTCTGTAGTAGCGAAATGAGCCATATCGAATACAGCGTTCATCGTCTGAGAAGTGTCGATGGCGCGTATAAAATATTCGTCGGCCGATCGCATAATTGAGTTCCCCTCTGTCGTTTCTTCGCGGAGAAAAGACGAAGGGCTACCGGAAGGGAAACTTGAAATCGTCGCTTCGGCAAATTGCCGGGCGAAATTCGCCGAGCGCGACAGACGGGAAATGAACCTCACTGAATGCTCGCTGTCTTTCGATGGTCGTCCCCGCATTTGCCACCTTTTTGTCCGCCTTTCCGCTTCCGTCGGGGGGTTGCGACGGATAACCCTCGACTGTGGTGGCGGTAAGCGAGCGCAAACGCCTCCCCGATAAGTTATCGCCTAATTATGAAACCCGTGAGATGCGACGTTTGCACGTAACCCCGGTGATTACAAAGCGCACGTTACGGCCGTTTTTCACAGCTGAAAAATCTCCGCGGGGTATAAGTCTTAAAATGTAGGCAGGCAACCGGCGGCCCTTGATACGCTAAGCAAATTTGATGATGAAGCTCGTTTATACGCGGGGAAAAGCGCTACCGTGAAATGTCCCATTGGATTGACTTGCCGAGGGCGTATAGATCGAGGATTAAATAGAGAAGATAGATAGATAAACAGATAGATAGATAAATCGTTTATTAAAAGTTTTAGGGAAAGCCCCTTCTAAGAACATACAAAAAGTGAATTTAAAAAATATAATGGAAAACAGATTATAATAAATGCTGAGTAATTTGAACGGGAAACGTAAATGAAGGTGCAATAAAAATGGAACAGAACACAATGAGTGTTGGAAAAAAAAAAAATAAAAAAGCAAAATAAGGTGATACGTAAGATGAACATAATAAGTACGAAGTGCGAGAATGACAGTGTGATGAGTGTGATAAAAATGATGATAATTGTGCTCGCAGACGAGGGCTCGGATAAGTGACGGCACATTAAGTAGTAACGATGATAAGTTTTAGCAACGACAAAAATAGAATAGTTGAGGGACTCCTAAAAAGAATTCTTACTATTTACGATCCAATTCGTTTTCTTGCGTCATACTCGATATCGATAAACCAGCGACGCAAATGGTCCTCGACGGCGTAGCCATTTTTACGCATTTCGAACGAAAACGCGAGAGAGGGACATGACAAAGTGAATCGATCAAAGCGTATTAGACGCGACGATTAATCGCCGCCGTTATTTCCCTCTTTTCCGCCACTTCGCGTCGCGGTTCGATCCGACACGGACGCGCTTCGCTCTCGGTCGCGTTAGCCCTTTTATATTTTCATTAACCGTCATTATTCCGTCTACGCTTTGCCGCGGTCACCAACGTGCGCGACGTTTTTCCGCACGCAAAGCGGAAGCGGACGGACGCACAGGGTGCGTGGGCGGCGGCGGTCGTTACAAAGGCGGATCAAATTACAACCGGTGCGGGGATTAAAGCCGGAGGAAAAAAAAAAAAAAAA